ATCACAGTATATATCTGACCTGTATCGTCGATTTAAAATCACAATTCTTGTCGACGATGATGATTTTAGGTAATCACTCACAAACAAATTTCAAATTAGTCGGAGCGGAGATCAACACGCCACCTACCTCTCCGTTGAATCTACGGCTCAGGGTGTTGATCCCACGTGGGCGTACTACCAAAGAAACTGCGTCTAAAAACAGGCTTGGTGTCCAAAGAGATTTGACTTCCGTGATTTATACACGGTCTCAATGCGTTTGCTGAATGAAAATAGACACGCCTCGTCGCTACTTCACACAGCGGCCTTATGTAGTCACAAATAATGTAGGAATACAGTGTATACAAGCCTGTTAAATAATGATGATGTACATAAACACACTGAAATATTCGGTTGTTCATAGTAACGGGTAGGAGTATGTCCTCCGTCTTGAGGTTATTTTTGCATGTATCGCTTGCAACCAAAACGGTCTTATACAAGCACAACATTCGTGCTAAAATAATAGTGATATTGAAGAAGTCTCTTACCTTAAATGCATATTGAGTGTGCTTGTAAATTTATTATGGAATCGTTTAATTAGAAAGATGGATATTGCAGCCAAAAAACACCTCTGCCTGTGCAAAAAAACTATTGGGGGATACACGCGTTAAGAGAAGCCACTTACGTGTCCCTGTTGGCTTAGCTTCTGTTCACTGCCCGCGATATCAGGTAGTAATTACGACCACCGACATGTTTAAACCACAGAAAACTTTATTCTCTTACTAATATTTCCCCTTATATCTTGTTTAAGTGACTTACTATCTTTTAAATCATTGAACATAACACGAGTAATTTCTTTAAAGGGATCATATATATCATTTTTTTCTGTTCCTTTACATTTGTTTTGCATATAGATCATTTTCACAATTACATGAAAAGCATATGACATGTTGACCAGAGCTTTTAAAATTGCAACCCATGCTTGCCATTAGAGGCGACTTACGTGATCGCGTGGTCAGGCTCGCTGATTTGGCTGGTGCATGTTATCGTATCCCAATTGCGTGGATCGATGCTCATAGTGTCAATCACTGGATTGTCTGGTCCAGACTCGATTAGTTACAGACCGCCGTCATATAGCTGGAATATTGCTGAGTGCGGGGTAAACAAAAAACAACAACTTCCAAAGGTTGAACTTTAATTTCTGAAGCAGAAATATTCATTTTAATAGTCGAAACATTCTCTATTTCATTAAGCTTCGACAGTTTCTTATCGGTGTTTTCTAACCGCTTTTCTAGTCAGATACAGACTTGTCACAGTGATAAGGTGCGGTGATTAAGTGAGAGATTCCAAATCAGTTGGTGTATTTATGTAGCATTCAGCAATGTAACGGAGTAAATACTCAACCGAAAAAACTGAGGGTTCAAATTCTTTTCAGATCAAAACCCCCAGAGTATTCCACTCAGGTGAATGATACATTGTTTTCCTGCTTTCACAAAAGGTCACCCCAACAATGCTGGCCTTTTTAATATTGCATTGTTGTGTCATCTTATCACTTCATGCTTACATACTTGTTTTAAATAGAACAATGTGATAATCTTGTTGTTTTGCTGTCCTTTGTCGAAAATGTTTGTGAATGTGTTTATTATTATTGTCATGACTATATGGCTGCAACATTGCTGATGTGATGTAAAGATGTATCACATGGAGGAGGAGTCGGGACATTGGGTGTATCAGATGGAGGATGGGTCGGGACAGTGGGTGTATCATATGGAGGATGGGTCGGGACAGTGCGTGTATCAGATGGAGGAGGGGTCGGGACATTGAGTGTATCAGATGGAGGAGGGGTCGGGATATTGTGTGTATCAGATGGAGGATGGGTCGGGACAGTGGGTGTATGAGAAGGAGGAGGGGTCGGGACATTGGGTGTATCAGATGTAGGAGGGGTCGGGACAGTTGGTGTATCAGAAGGAGGAGGGGTCGGGACATTGAGTGTATCAGATGGAGGAGAGTCGGGACAGTGGGTGTATCAGATGGCGGATTGGCCGGGACATTGGGTGTATCAGATGGAGAAGGGGTCGGGACAGTGGGTGTATAAGATGGAGGAGGGGTCGGGACAGTGGGTGTATCAGATGGAGTAGGGTTCGGGACATTGGGTGTATCAGATGGAGAAGGGGTCGGGACAGTGGGTGTATCAGATGGGAAGGGGTCGGGACATTGGGTGTATCAGATGGAGGAGGGATCGGGACAGTGGGTGTATCAGATGGAGGAGGGGTCGGGACAGCGGGTGTATCAGATGGAGGAGGAGTCGGGACAGTGGGTGTATCAGATGGAGGAGGGGTCGGGAAAGCGGGTGTATCAGATGGAGGAGGGGTCGGGACAGTTTGTGTATCAGATGGAGGAGGGGTCGGGACATTGGGTGTATCAGATGGAGGAGGGGTCGGGACAGTTTGTGTATCAGATGGAGGATGGGTCGGGACATTGGGTGTATCAGATGGAGGAGGAGTCGGGACAGTGGGTGTATCAGATGGAGGAGGAATCGGGACAGTGGGTGTATCAGATGGAGAAGGGGTCGGGAAAGCGGGTGTATCAGATGGAGGAGGGGTCGGGACAGTGGGTGTATTAGATGGAAGAGGGATCGGGACATTGGATGTATCAGATGGAGGAGGGGTCGGGACAGTTTGTGTATCAGATGGAGGAGGGGTCGGGACATTGGGTGTATCAGATGGAGGAGGGGTCGGGACATTTGGTGTATCAGATGGAGGAGGGGTCGGAACAGTTGGTGTATCATATGGAGGAGGGGTCGGGACAGTGGGTGTATCAGATGGAGGAGGGGTCGGGACAGTTGGTGTATCAGATGGAGGAGGGTACCGGTCGAGACAGTGGGTATATCAGATGGAGGAGGGGTCGGGACATTGGGTGTATCAAATGGAGGAAGGGTCTGGACAGTGGGTGTATCAGACGGAGGAGAGTCGGGACATTGGGTGTATCAGATGGAGGAGGGGTCGGGATAGTGGATGTATCAGATGGAGAAGGGTTCGGGACAGCGGGTGTATGAGATGGAGGAGGGGTCGGGACTTTGGGTGTATCAGATGGAGGAGGAGTCGGGACATTGGGTGTATCAGATGGAGTATGGGTCGGGATAGTGGATGTATCAGATGGAGAAGGGGTCGGGACAGCGGGTGTATCAGATGGAGGAGGGGTCGGGACATTGGGTGTATCAGATGGAGGAGAGTCGGGATAGTGGATGTATCAGATGGAGGAGGGGTCGGGACAGTGGGTGTATCAGATGGAGGAGGGGTCGGGACAGCGGGTGTATCAGATGGAGGAGGGGTCGGGACTTTGGGTGTATCAGATGGAGGAGGAGTCGGGACATTGGGTGTATCAGATGGAGGAGGAGTCGGGACAGTGGGTGTATCAGATGTAGGAGGGGTCGGGACAGTTGGTGTATCAGATAGAGGAGGGGTCGGGACATTGGGTGTATCAGATGGAGGAGGAGTCGGGACATTGGGTGTACCAGATGGATGATGGGTCGGGACATTGGGTGTATCAGATAGAGGAGGGGTCGGGACATTGGGTGTATCAGATGGAGAAGGGGTCGGGACAGTGGGTGTATCATATGGAGGAGGGGTCGGGACAGTGGTTGTATCAGATGGAGGAGGGGTCGGGACATTGGGTGTATCAGATGGAGGAGGGGTCGGGACACTCGGTGTATCAGATGGAGGAGGGGTCGGGACAATTGGTGTATCAGATGGAGGAGGGGTCGGGACATTGGGTGTATCAGATGGAGGAGGGGTCGGGACAGCGGGTGTATCAGATGGAGTATGGGTCGGGACAGTGGGTGTATCAAATGGAGGAAGGGTCTGGACAGTGGGTGTATCAGATGGAGGAAGGGTCGGGACATTGGGTGTATCAGATGGAGGAAGGGTCGGGACAGCGGGTGTATCATATGGAGGAGAGTCGGGACAGTGGGTGTATCAGACGGAGGAGAGTCGGGACATTGGGTGTATCAGATGGAGGAGGGGTCGGTATAGTGGATGTATCAGATGGAGAAGGGTTCGGTACTTTGGGTGTATCAGATGGAGGAGGGGTCGGGACTTTGGGTGTATCAGATGGAGGAGGAGTCGGGACATTGGGTGTATCAGATGGAGGAGGGGTCGGGACAGTGGGTGTATCAGATGGAGGAGGGGTCGGGACATTGGGTGTATCAGATGGAGGAGGGGTCGGGACAGTTTGTGTATCAGATGGAGGAGGGGTCGGGACATTGGGTGTATCAGCTGGAGGAGGGGTCGGGACACTCGGTGTATCAGATGGAGGAGGGGTCGGGACAGTGGGTGTATCAGATGGAGTATGGGTCGGGACAGTGGATGTATCAGATGGAGGAGGGGTCGGGACATTGACTGTATCAGATGGAGTAGGGGTCGGGACATAGGGTGTATCAGATAGAGGAGGGGTCGGGACACTCGGTGTATCAGATGGAGGAGGGGTCGGGACAGTGGGTGTATCAGATGGAGGAGGGGTCGGGACAGTGGATGTATCAGATGGAGGAGGGGTCGGGACATTGGGTGTATCAGATGGAGTAGGGGTCGGGACATTGGGTGTATCAGATGGAGGAGGGGTCGGGACAGTGGGTGTATCAGATGGAGGAGGGGTCGGGACATTGGGTGTATCGGATGGAGGAGGGGTCGGGACAGTGGGTGTATCAGACGGAGGATGGGTCGGAACATTGGGTGTATCAGATGGAGTATGGGTCGGGACAGTGGGTGTATCAGATGGAGGATGGGTCGGAACATTGGGTGTATCAGATGGAGGAGGGGTCGGGACAGTGGGTGTATCAGATGGAGGAGGGGTCGGAACATTGGGTGTATCAGATGGATTATGGGTCGGGACAGTGGGTGACCCCGCTGGGGTTCGAAGTCCGGACCAACAGATCCCGACAGGACCCTGTTAGAGCGACTTGACTCTGTATTATTACTTGACATGGATACTAACTTCATACGAGAATAAGAACAATGTTAACGGTAAAATGTTACAGATAATCAATTTATTACAAATTTTGCAGCATTTTTCCCAACTTATACATAATGGTAAATGTCGGCAGTTCCTGAATAATTTATTACACAAATGACCGGTTTCGATATATTCGGTTGTCCTTGTCATACATTTTTCACTTCAGGATGTCAGACGTCAACAATCGGCCTGAAAAAGACACAAAAATAAGTACATTATGTCCGTTCAAATCCACAGTTATAAAGTAAGGTGGCATGAAGCCTTTTCTACAATTAAGGAGAGGACACGGGTGACCAAGTAGTCTGAGGCGCAGCAATTCGGCCTGCACGCCAGAAACCTGTCCTAATTTGTTGGTTTTTCAGCACCAATGCGTGCTTGTGGGCTTCACAGAAGGGGCAACCGTTCGAGACCTGCATCACTTGGGACCTTCCTCCCACATTGAGCTAAGGCGCCATGATATAACTGGAATACTCGCCAAAGCGGCGTTTAACCCAACTCATTCATGTTAAACTCAACTCATTTATTCAACTCATATTGGGTATGTTATGGTTCACTTACAGAGTAATGGATTTAGTTTTGTTTGTTTGTTGTTGTTTAACGCCACACTTAGCAATATTCCAGCAATATGACGGCGATCTGTAAATAATCGAGTCTGGATCAATCAACCCAGTGATTGATATCATGAACATCGATCCAGAAGCCAAGACACAAACTTATCATGCAAAAATTTGGGCATTTAAAGATCTGTGTGAAAAGTCTTTAATTTGCTTTTTGATTGGTTTGGTTTGTTTATTTTTTAACTCCGCACTCAATCCAGTGATTAATATCATGAGCACCGATCCACGTAGTTGGGATCGATGACATGCATCAACCAAGTCAGCGAGCCTGACCACCCGATCCCGTTAGCCGCCTCTTACGACAAGCATAGTCGCCTTTTATGGCAAGCATGGGTTGCTGAAGACCTATTCTATCCCGGACCTTCATGGGTCGTAATGAATTTAGACTCAGAGAGATCTCTCAAGTCAGGAAAGTACCATCGCAAGTGACAAATCCAGATTAAGGAACATTTTTATGACGTAATGTGTAATCGTTCGGAAGGTTGTGACCCCGTATTAACGGCGTTCACTTGTTATGTCATGCTTGTACATACCCTCATTAGCATTCTTACGGTAACACCAGCTGCCGCTCAGTCTGAATCCATAACAACATGTTTTCACCTGCCTGTAGCATGTATTCAGTCTATACCTGGAACACAAGGGATATGTTTTCGTAAGAGAATATATTATGTTGTTGTAGTTGTAGTTTGTTGTATAACGCCCCACTCAGCATGATTCCAGCTGTATGACGGCGGTCTGTAAATAATCGAGTCTGGTCCAAATAATCCAGTGATTGATATCATGAGCATCGATCCTCGCAATGTTGGATGGATGACCTGCATCAACCAAGTCAGCGAGCCTGACCACCCGATCCCATTAGTCGCCTTTTACGACAAGCATACATGTAGTTGCCTTTTACGGCAAGAATGGGTTGCTGAAGACCTATTCTATCCCGGATCTTCACGGCTCTATCAAATATTTACGCAGTGTTTGATAAAGCATGTCCAAGGGTTTTTTATGATATTGAAAACCCGCATCCGCGGATAAGGGTTTTAAATATTAAAAAAAACCAGGAGAAGTGTTTTATCTAACTTATAAACCGGAAAAAACAACTTAAAACAACATTAATTTATCAAAAACACTTTCCACGAACCTTAAGGAACGGGCGTAAAATATATGTTGCTGGCGTACGGAACTTCAAAAAGACATTCTTAAAAGCATTGTGTTTCATCAGCGCCTCTGTAGGCTTGTGGTACACTCACTAGGCTACAGATACGAAGGTTACGTGTTCGATCATTGGGAATATACAGAAAACATTTGTCATAACATTTCTTTACATTTTGTTGAAATACAAATCAATTTCTAGCAAGAAACATTCATATGTTACAGTCATAACTGTATTAATAAAAAACCCGGGAATATTACAACATCCCAATGGACAACAATAGGATGACGTGAGTGAAGATACAGAAGATAATGAAGTTATGTTGGATGAGTGAGGTGTAATGTTGCTATCATCTGAAGTTCTAGGGATCACTGATCTGAGACGCCATGATTCGCTGAGCAGTTGTGCGTGTTTAATCGGTGCCAGCATGCGTTCGATCACATCCCTGATTCTACTTACTATTTGAACTATGTGCTTAAGGTGTGAACTATGTGCTTAAGGTGTGAATTATGTGTTTAAGGTGTGAACTATGTGCTTAAGGTGTGAATTACCGAGTGCATCGTCCCCATCCCCAGAATCCACAGCTGGTAGAGTAGGTGCCTCTACAAGTGTATGTCTGTGAGTCCAAACATGCAGGACCGGTTGTGCTTGTGGAGGATGAACAGCCGCCACATGGTTCTGAAAGAGAGAGTCGTTGATTGGCCAAATAAAGGCAGAAAGAAAATAGGTAGAGGGGGAGAGAGAGGAGAGAGTTTTGTTTGTTTGTTGCTTAACGCCGCACTCAGCAATATTCCAGCTGTATGACGGCGGTCTGAAGATAATCGAGTCTGGACCAGACAATCCACTGATTGACATCATGAGCATCGATCCACGCAATTGGGATCGAGCGCATGTATGAACCAAGTCAGCGAGCCTGACCACCCGATCCCGTAAGGGGTGGGGGATGGGGGGTGGATGGGGGGGGGGTGGGGGGTGGAGGGGGGCTCTGACCTCATTCTCGGTAGCGGTATGATTGTCATGTTGATTATGTTGTTTTATTGATCTTCTCAATACACTTTAATTCATGCATGTATGTTTTGTTGTTTTTGAGCAAGAGTGATTTCAAACTCTGGTAAAGTTTCTTTTGGACGTCAGTTTATATAACTTTATGTCCTGGGGGGGGGGGGGGGGGGGGGGGGGGGAATCCAAAAGGTAGAATGAGTATACCAATCTTGTATTCCAGAGCGAAGCCATCACCCCTGTATCCTGTATCAGCCCGCATCAGTATCAACATTTCACTTCCGTGGGACCGGAAATACCGCGTTGGTCTTGTGTAACAACAGAACCTGTAAAGAAACAAAAAGTGAAATTTCATCGCAACGTTCTTCAGAATATCATAAGGAAAGCATTCATAGGGTCTATGTATATTCATCCTTGTAGAAATCGCTAACCTTGGTCCTGTTTTGGCCACATCAGTGTGCCGCACTTCCACATACTCCTTACAGGTGCTGTCACAGGAGAAGGAGAACTTTCCCTTGAACCTCATCATGATTCTCTTTGAACTTCCCGATACCTGAAATAGAATGAAATCGTTATTGGCATCAACCAAGTCAGCGAACCTGACCATCCGATCCCGTTAGTCGTCTTTTACGACATGCATAGTCGCCTTTTACGGCAAGCATGGGTTGCTGACGACCTATTCGAACCCGAATCTTCACGGCTCCAAATCATTTATGAGTACATGATGATAATACTTCACAAATATCACCTACTTTTATTCGCCACGTGCATTCGGAATTAGCAGGATACGTTGACACTCCATAGTTTGGAGAGTTAAGTGTCTGCCATACTGAAGATGCATAACGATCTCTATTCCCACACGAAGCTGAAACAGAAATGTATTGTATGATTGTATGACCTTATGTAAAGGTCATAATTTTAAACATTGCGTTCCCGGAATTTATTAGTGAGCGAATGAATGTTGTCTCATCTAGACCGGACCTATCGACCCGAGGCAAGTAAGTAAACTGACTATAAAAGTCCAGTTTCCACCCTTGCCGAACTAGGCTGGTATTATGGAGTTAGATTTTGGCTGGACTAACGAGTCTATACATAGTCCAATCACAGTCATGCAACGAAATCGAAATCCGGTTCGTAAACTGTCACGCAGATTTTGGTCGATTGCAGTTGACTCGTTGTCAACAGATATTTTCCAAATCTTTTCAAGTTTTTATTCAAGGTGCTCACGTGATTGGATGCACTTCGCGATGCAAGACCCGTTTTATCACAATATGCATATTAAATTATCGATCAGATCGTCTTGACTGGGCCCTGCCATTTTGTTAGAAGCAATGCAAGTGATACGAGAGGTGGAATCTGATTGGTCCATATGAGATGCATAAAAGGGACATAACCACTGGTCGCGCTACGATCGAGCCCAGGAAATCTAGCTTAGTTTGGCAAGGGTGGAAACTGGATTTTTAAAGTCAATTAACTCCCTTGCCTCTGGAAGATGGACCAGACCAGACACACCAGTGACTGAAACCATGCAGAACGATCCTCGCCACCGGGAAACGATCACATGAAATCAGCCAAGTCACAGTCTTAAATACATTTCAACTGTTTGATTGGCAAAATAAGTAAGAAAAACGTACAACTTTATGGAGAACAACTTGTATATTGCATATTGGGATGTTTCTTACACCTTTATCATTTCTTTGTTTGTTTGCTGTTTAACGCCGCACTCAGCAATATTCCAGCTTTTTGACGGCGTTCTGTAAATAATCGAGTCTGGACCAGACAATCCAGTGATTGACATCATGATCAATCCACGTAATTGGGATACGATGTCATGCATCAACCAAGTCAACGAGCCTGGCCACTCGAAACCATTGGTCGCTTCTTACGACATGCACAGTCGCCTTTTACGGCAAGCATGTACACCGTTATCAAGCTGGAGTGACAACAACCAAGTGATGAGGCATATATGCATGACATGTTTTAGTTTGCTCTAACAAGGCCCACGAAGCTTGGTTTCATTGACATATACTATAAAGGCAAATTTTTGTTAAAGAATGTCACGATCTTAAAGTAAGATGTATGGTTATATTTTGCTTGCGAGACCTAATTTCCAAAAGTTTATTTCAAAGACCAACAACAGTTATGTAGACGTTTGTAACTGAATAGTAAAGAGTTACCTCTCTTTCCTGGTTTCACAGATGTGCAGCATGTCCCACTAAGTCCATCCGGGCATTTGCATCGGTTGCAGTTCTTAGGATCTCTGTAGCCTTCATGTCTGCACGCCGACCATGACAAACCCCCTGGACAAGCCGCTGTTCAAGTAAAGGCAGGCTTTATACGAAATATGTGTTATATTACATTTTGAAGGCATAACATACGACAACGCAAGGGTATGTCACCTTGCCAGTGTATGCACAATTTACCACGCTTTTAAACAGATTCCATATCCATCATTTTTAGTTTCAACTCCCACGCTTACCGATCGTATGAAACCATCAAACGCCATCATTTAATACAGGATCTGTTCTAACCCGGGCGTCCACGAATAAAGTGAACAATGACATTTGTCACATTCAATATTTACTCTTAATCTTGCACTGCAACAAAAAAAACTCGGGAAACTGCAAAGAATATAGTTTCAACAAAGGCGAATGTAGAGTGCGAAGACGGTTGGACATACATGAGCAATAAATCAGATTCGCAATTTTGACATCGTAGAAAGATAGACCGCTCCTGGTACCCAAAGTCGTTTCCATATCACTTTCTTTGGCTGTGATTGTTGGTCTCTCATTCTTGCTGAATGCCTAGATAAATACATAATGAAAAATTGCAATTGGTAAATTAAAGTCTTTAGTTTTCCAACAAAACAAAACAGGCCTCTATATAGTCAATGTGATTATGGTTCGAGACAGAATATTTATTCCGTATGCTTGTCAACACAAACAATTTTTTCTTTGAAGGGAGGCGCCAAGAATGTTTTTTCCAACAACAGATTATTTTTCCAGCCAACAGTGTTGTTTTGTGCATAAATCCTTAGACCAAATGATTTTTTTCAGCTTTTTCGGTAACAGATTATTTTGAGGAAGTGAGTTATCTCAATGTAACCTGACAGATTCCGTGTCGTTTCAAGCATAAAGTTCTTACAACTATAACAAACAACTTCGACGTCAGGGAATAACCAATATCGATCTTGATTTAGACAGATTCCATTGGGCGCAAAAGGCAAGCAGTGACAATTACATGAACGGATCACAGAAAATCAGTGATGACACCAGGTGTTCACGAAAACAATGCCACACATCAGCAAATTTATTCCATATTGCTTAAAAACACATTTTACTGAGTTAGGGGATCAGGGTGGCTGTCGTTAATGCACCCCAAATCACAGCGTACACTTGCCACAATCCAATAGTTGAGGGTTTGAATCCCGATTTGAGAGCGCCTAGCATGGCAAGCATGAAATACCTGCAGTATTCTATTGGTATTGACTATTTGAACAATGTTCAACCTCACTCACTTCACCCCACGTCACTCTTACTTTACAGATGCTTGTCGTAAAAGGCAACTAACGGGATCGGATGGTCAGACTCGCTGACTTGGTTAATGCATGTCATCGTATCCCAAAAGCTTAGATCGATGCTCATGATGTCAATCATGGGATTGTCTGGTCCAGACTCGATTATTTACAAACAGCTGTCATATAGCTGGAATATTGCTGAGTGCAGCGTTAAACAACAAACAAACAAACAAAAACAAATCCATTTACTAAGAAGAGACATCTACAGTATCGGATACTGATAAAATTTTAAATCAACCATTCCCATACTGTATGATGCCAACGCGATCATAGATATCACAGGATAATTATGCAACATATATCCGTCGTGGACATGCATACCTTCGTTCCATAGTGCATAACAGACGAATAGTCGTATGGTATTCCCATCGATCGAGCATTTCGCCAGGATTCTCTGCGGAAATTGTGACTTTTCCCTGACTTGATGTTATCATAGTATACTCTGACATACGTATCTCGGTCTGGTCGCCCCTGCTCGTGCCAGAACCCCAACGCGTGACCAATCTCGTGGGCGGCAATACCTTTCTGTTTGAAGGGAAAATAGTTATATTTTGACATCAGCTAGTACGGCAGCTATATTGCAAACATTCGTGATCATCATTTAATATTATTGAATGACAAATGTTTGAAGTCGACAAAGTATTTATGATGACGCGAAACCTACTGTGTCGCACCCAGTTCCAATTGATATTGTCTGACCACTTCCTCGTTTGCCAATATAGGAACTGCAACTGAAACGGTAATATTTCTTTAGATGAACGTACAGCAAGTATGTAAAAGAGTTAATTAACCCCCTGGGTGCCGAGTTATTCTGCTGACGCACATTTACAAATACAGTATATGTTCTGAAACGTGAACATTGTGCAAGACTTGCGGTTACGCTGCACTAGGCTTTCCTCTGACAATACAATTATAAAGATGCAAGAATATTAAATTTACTATCTTGGAATGTAAAATCCGGAGACTGCATGAAAAAGAGACAGTGTTAAATAAAATATATTTAAAAATCTATTGTTTACTGGGAGAGCTGCCTTTTAGAGTGAGTCAGTGAGTATGATTTTACGCCGCGTTTAGCAATATTCCAGCAACATCACGGCGGGGGACACCAGAAATGGGCTTCACACATTGTACCCATGTCGGGAATCGAACTTGGGTCTTCGGCGTGACTGGGGAACGCTTTAACCACTAGGCCACCTGATCGCCCCATGCCTTTTAGAAGATGTTCCCAATTAACAACTGCTATGGAAACCGTACTCGTGAAACCGTGGCGAAACCGCCTCCGTGGTCTAGTCGAAAGAGCATTTGGCCGTGGGCGAAGGAAGGTGGTTTGATCCCATGCCGCGTCATACAAAATACGTTAAAAGATGTTACCATGTCCGGCGCTAGGGATAAAACAAGCATTGGTCGACTCAGAGTCAGGATAAATTGAGTGGGGTATATATGCGGCATAATTCCGGATCAGTACAAGCGCTCGCACACACACACACACACACACACACACACACACACACACGTCACTATAAACACAAAACCCTCACCACATTGCTGTGGTGGTGCTTGGAACCCATCGCATAACATACCCTTTGTTTTTCTTGAATATCAGATGAGGGCCATAATATCTGCTGAATTTCACAAAATTTAAACACGTCTCTTCCTCCCAGTGTCTAATGGCGTCTTCAATGGCCTTCTTTCCAGATGCATCTGAAAATATAATTATGCATTTCGTGTGGTGTGCGTCTCAAAACCAATGACGGACGGGGTGGCCTTGTGGGTAAAGGTGAAGGACCGGCTTCGATGCCGCACGTGGGAACAATGTGTGAAGCCCATTTCTGGCGTCCCCCGCCGTGATATTACTGGAATATTGCTAAAATCGGCGTGAAAACTAACTCAAAAGCAATGGTATGCTTATTTGGTATGTTTGTTTCTAGTTAAACGCCGCACTTAGCATTATTCCAGCTATATGACCGCGGTCTGTAAATAATCTGTACCAGACAATCCAGTGATTGATGTCATGAGCATCGATCCATGCAATTTGTTCACGATGACATGCATCAACAAAGTCAGCGAGCCTGACCACTTGATCCCGTTAATAGCCTCTTACGACAAGCATAGTCACCTTTTAGGGCAAGCATGGGTTGCTGAAGACCTATTCTACCCCGGATCTTCACGGGTCCAATGAGGGGGCACGGGTGGCCCAGTCGTCTAAGGCGGCGCGATTCGCTGTGCAGAGTTGCGTCCCTTGGGCACGCCAGAAACCTATGATTGTGGGTTCGAATCCCGGTTCGCCCCGATTATGTTTCTAGGTTTGTCAGCACCATACCCGTGCTCGTGGGTTTCACGGAAGTGGTAAACGTCTAAGTCCTGCATCACTTCGGGCTTTCCTCCCACATTAAGCTGACACGCCGTGATATAACTGGAATACTGTTAAAAGCGGCGTTAAACCCAACTCACTCACTCACGGGTCCAATGATAAAAAGTAATATCTAACATTAGTACTGAATACCATTAGCTGAAGGTTATGTCGAACCTTTTGTACTGTTATTAACACTCATAATTTCACAAAAAGCAAAGACCAATACATTGACGCATGTAGTCATATTTTCATTGAGGTGAAGTATTTACATGTATTGAAATCTGCGCTGATTATGTAGGGAATGTTTGTGGACCACTGTCTGTGTTCCATGGCCTTCCGCTTGCGTCTTGTACTGTCGAACTCGCTTTCGTCATGTCTTTGTGAAAGGTCAAGAGTGCTCGTATCTTGATTTATTTCCCTGACCATTTCGTCCACATCCTCTCTAGTAAGTACCATGTCGTCTTCAGCGTCAAAGATGTCCTCCAAGGCTAAAGTTGTCTTAAAACGGAAAAGAAAGTGAAAATATTGTTTGGAATTATTCTTTTACGTTCCAAATTGCCATACTTTGAGAGAATTCAGAAGTATATATATATCCATATAGTAGTCATGAACCTCTGATCGTGGCCAAGAGTCATGTCAATTGATCTGTCAGCATAGCTTTAATATTCTGCATCATTTACACTTTCTGCATGGAGCTGAAACACCGCAAACTACAGCAAAAAGCTTCATACGATCATCTCACGTCGTAGACGATGTGACATAACTATACTGCACATGATTAAATGGTATTTTTCATTTGATGTCAACTATGTTAAACTATGTAGAGGATGCTGCTTATATATGGATGCGGACATGTATGATGCATATTAATTAAAACAAAACAAAAAGCTTCGAAAAAGTGTTCATGGTAAAATGAGGCAGTGGAGGCGGAGGTATTGTCTTACTAATGTTTTATTGAGTTTGTCCGCAATCCGCTTTTCGATGCCTGCCAATTTAGCTGCAACGTACATCGTGTCCGACAGACTTTCATCCCCCGATATGCTTTGAAGTGACATCTGAAACATTTGCAACATGATATACAATCACCATTTGTTTGGTTAGATGCTGTACTAATAGGGTTTGGTGCCCACTCTAGACTTGGTTATGTATGATAGCTATCATAAAAAATATAATTAAACATATCGCTCTGTGATGCACAAGTAGGACGTCTATGCTCCACATGCAGTCATTGAATGTCATAGAGCTTTGGGTGACATTTGTCTGAGTCAGTGAGTTGGGGTTAACGCCGCTTTTAACAGTATTCCATTTATATCGCGGCATGTCAGCTTAATGTGGGAGGAAAGCCCGAAGAGATGTAGGTCTCAGACGTTTACCACTTCGATGAAACCCACGAGCACGGGTATGGTGCTGACAAACCTAGAAACATTATCGCGGCGAACCGGGATTCGAACCCACAATCATAGGTTTCTGGCGTGCCCAAGGGAAACAACTCTGCCTAGCGGATCGCGGCGTCTTAGACGACTGGGCAACCCGTGCCCCCACATTTGTCTGAACATCCTTAACCAAGCTGCACGGGTTGCTCCCTCTGTTTTATCAGCGGGCCATGAGTTCAAATAAGAAACTCACTCCGATGATAATCACAGGCATGTTAGCGCAACATGCTCGTGATGTCAGATGTTGTGATCATATAGTCTGTATCACCTCGGTTTTCATCCCACACTGATCACATGCCGCGATGTCAGTGGACGCCAAAACAACAGCTTACCTTGATCCTTAGAGTTGGTTTGTTGGTTTGTTGTGTAACGCCGCACTCAGCAATATTCCAGCTATATGACGGCGGTCTGTAAAGTGTAAGCAGGTGAATTATTCATTCAAATGATTTTGAATGACAAGGGAGTTATGCGGTACTTCCTGGTCGGGGTTCTTCCCTGTTTTCTATTGATAGGTTTTGTTTTGTTTGTTGTTTAACGCCGCACTCAACCATATTCCAGCTATATTACAGCGGTCTGTAAATAGTCGAGTCTGGACCAGACAATCCAGTTATTAATATCACGCAATTGGGATCGATGACATGCATCAACAAAGTCAGCAAGCCTGACCACCCTTTACCGTTAGTCGCCTTTTACGACAAGCATCGTCACCTTTTACGGTAAGCATGGGTTGCTGAAGACCTATTCTATCCCGGAATCTTCACGGGTATGATCCTTTGAGTGAGAGAGTGAGTGAGTATGGCTTTACGCCGCTTTAAGCAATATTCCAGCAATATCACGGCGGAGGACACAAGAAATGGGCTTCACATATTGTACCCATGTCGGGAATCGAACCCTGGTCTTCGGCGTGACTTGGCTACCCGACCGCCCCTTGATCCTTTGATTTCAAATGAGATGCAAAAGTAGTTATTGTATTGACAACGTGGACATTATTCCACATTATGTAATTTTTACAATAGCTGTAAGATGATACATTGATTGCACATAGTGACGAAACCGTCACTTGTTCTCTACAAGTACTGAAACTCACCACGTTTTTTTCATCCACAGTGAATGCAGACAGGTTGATTGTCTGGTTGGCAAGTGTCAGTTGAACGTTGTCAGTGGCTTCCAAAAGAGTCGAGAAGTTGAAAGTTTTCCCGAGTAGTTTGCTCACATCAGAACTCATTGTCGATGACTCGAACGGAGCTCCATCATTTGTTCTCGTTGTCGGCATAACTGTTGCCTCATCTTCACTAGCAGGTTTCTCTGCTGGAAGCTTGGCGTCCGTCTCATCTTCAGAAGCAGGTTTCTCTGTTGGAAGCTTGGCGTCCGTCTCATCTTCAGAAGCAGGTTTCACTGCTGATGGATTGGTAGCTGTCTCATTGTCAGAATCTGTTCTTTCTATTGATGACATGTTTGTTATGGCACCTGTAGGGGCATGGCTGCTACCATTGTTGTGTACATAACTCCTGGATTCTTCATTAGCGAGGACATAAGTAAGGAGAACTAAGAAGAGGAGTTTGAGAGGAGCCACGTCCATTGCTACAGATCTAGATGCGTCTGGGGCACTATCTGTACATCAGATGCCTTATGATTAGTTATATACTATCAGACCACCACAAGGTTTGGTCATCTGTTTTATGTTCACTAATCTGAATGGTGGAGAGTGATCGCTCGACTGCAAAAGAGGCGTGGTAATGAAACACTCTCATGGGTAGCCAATTGTCCATATATACGGAGCAACATGACACCAACCATGAAAGACGACACGATAAATACTCGTGACATGACTAACTAGGATTGGTTTCTTTAGTATTTTGTATGCGAGCCGTAAACCTGAATGTTTGGTGTAAGCAGGTGAATTATTCATTCAAATGATTTTGAATGACAAGGGAGTTATGCGGTACTTCCTGGTCGGGGTTCTTCCCTGTTTTCTATTGATAGGTTTTGTTTTGTTTGTTGTTTAACGCCGCACTCAACCATATTCCAGCTATATTACAGCGGTCTGTAAATAGTCGAGTCTGGACCAGATAATCCAGTGATTGACACCACGAGCATCGATCTACGCAATTGGGATACGATGACATGTATCAACCAAGTCAGCGAGGCAGACCACCCGATCCCGTTAGTCGCCTTTTACGACAAGTGTATAGTCTATACTCGCCTTTTACTGCGAGCATGGGTTGCTGAAGACCTATTCTACCCGGATTTTCACGGGTCCTATTAATAGGTACATGTGTCACATTGAGGTTTGTCGTGACGTTACCTACCCATGTTTCAGTTACACCTTGTGAAGTAAACATTTGGGGTATCTTGAATTTAGAAGAATACTAGTCTTATTCCCGGGGATTAAAACTGTATACTATGCTTTAAATCATATACATGTATGTACACTGATATATATCCCTATATCCTAGTACATTACCACAGTATTCTACGGGAGGCCTTTAGGTCAAAACATGATACATCCGCTGCAAAAAGGGCATCAACACGCAATATTAGACAAATGATACTAATAAATACTTATTTGCATATGAGTCACGAAATTAAAATACAAAATAAAATTTATACCAATGATATAGGTAGCAAAGAAAAGACGCCATATGAAACAAAGAACAGTGTGTACAGTTCACACAAATGGACACCAAACGGTATTGGACATCATTCCCATATAATGAAAGTCAGATGGTACTGCAATTTGTACAACATTCAGAATTAGATCGAAATGTTCCGTTGTGTATGTGATACATGCAGGCAATGAACAACACGACAATGAATGCCCAACTCATTCATTCATTACGTCATTCCCCGTGCATCACTAAGACGCCATATATATATATATATATATATATATATATATATATATATATATATATATATAAGAATAATAATAAGGGGTACCATCTCTTAACGTCTTTTGGTATGGCACCGACGGGATCAAATCCCCGACCTTTCGCTCTCCGGGCGGACGCGCTACCACTAGACCACAGACACGGCCTTTGTTCATTTGATGTATTGATAGTATTGACAGAGTCTCTCGTAATTTATGGGCGTCCGATTCATGGGAGTTCCCAGACTATTTTTTGACTGTTTTGGTACATTTTTTTCCTTTTTCCTTTGTCATCGAGAAAACAACATTCAAGTTTGATTCGACGTCAGCCAATCAGAATCGAACAAAATTGGACAACACTAACACTTTGTAATGATGAAACACTTCTCATACAGAGGACTCCTGTTCTCCAAGATGCACGTCTTAAGCATTCAATGCTATGACCAAATAACGACTGAAACTATTGCGTTCCCATGAACAATACTACTATGATATTGTGCTGATAACATTACACATATTGTTACAGCTTTATTGTCAAAATGTCAGTACTTCGGTTTATTTTTTAAAACACATTATATAACTGCAGCGTATCTTTTGAAACCACTCTTGTACAAATATAGAACTGCATTTTCTAGATTCAGATGTTCATCACATGAATTAAATATTGGAAGATGGAGGAAATATATAAATGTAGTATGGCCAGAGAGAAGTTTTATGTTTCATCTGAGGTTGAGTATTGTTTGTCTGGAAGGGAATGCTATGACCAAATAACGACTGAAACTATTCTGTTCCCATGAACAATATTATTATGATATTGTGCTGATAACATTATACATATTGTTTTGTTAGCCTTATTGTCAAAATGTCAGTACTTCAGTTTATTTTTTAAAACACATTTTATAACTGCAGCATATCTTTTGAAGCCACTCTTGTACAAATATAGAACTGCATTTTCTAGATTCAGATGTTCATCACATGAATTAAATATTGGAAGAAGATGGAGGAAATATATAAATGTAGTATGGCCAGAGAGCAGTTTTATGTTTCATCTGAGGTTGAGTATTGTTTGTCTGGAAGGGAAACACCAACACCAATTTCCCATAATCGGATGAAATTGCAAAGCGATATGTCGTCATCAAGCTTGGGAAGGAGATATATTATCCCTGGTGCTTCCTCAATGTGATCTAAGGCACCGCAATATGCTAAGAAGAGAGGCGTCCCTTTGTGGTGCAAGGATCCGTTGGTAGATGGTTCTATTCCCGGATTTGATCTGATCATTTTCTTTAGTGAAAAGCTGTTCCACTCCGTCTGATTTACCTTCGGCATTCCATCTCTTGCATTCTCATAAATCGTGACGTTACTCAAATGTTGTCACAAACGGACTTCTTACTCACTGATATTAAAGATTTCAAACAGGAAGTAAGATTGTGCTCAAATGTCAATGTGTAGCAAACAACAATAGCTCTCCTCAAGAAACCATGAATAGGGGAGGCAAACAAAGACATGTCTGTGTGCCCCTCATTTACGACGGATACAATTTAATATTTATGTCAAAGCATTTGGTAGACACAAAGGATCTCAAGCTTTTAAGGGCATGTGACTGCCCTCAAGTCGTGTGTCTTTCCCAGAACCCTATTATGAGACACAGGGTGGAAAGAATTCGTCGTTCCACATGCGCAATTTTCCTGGGAATATGTTGGGGAGCAAAGTTTAATCTGTTGCGAATTTCTGTACCGATATGAACGTAATGAAATGATATTCAGATTAAGTTCTTCCAAAAGATCAACATCGTGATATAACTCAAACACTGTTCGAAGCAGCGTTAAATCAAACTCACTTCAAAGATCAAGACAAAATGGGATAAGACCCGTGAAGATTCCGGGGTGGAATAGGTCTTCAGCAACCCATACTTGCCGTAAAAGGGACTATGCTTGTCGTAAAAGGCGACTAACGGGATCGGGTGTTAGGCTCGCTGACTTGGTTGATACATGTCATCGATCCCAATTGCGTTGATCGATGCTCATGATGCAAATCATTTTACAGACCGCCGTCATATAGCTGGAATATTGTTGAGTGCCATTTTTTAACGTCTTTTGGTATGACGCGGCCGGGGATCGAACCCCGGGCCTTCCGCTCTCCGGGCGTACGCTCTACCACTAGAGGCGGTCGAATACACAGAGGTAATGTATGCAACATTCACATACAAATAAATCATAACAATTATAGTGAGTGAGTGAGTATGGTTTTACGCCGCTTTTAGCAATAGAGAACCACGTCGGGAATCGAACCCGGGTCTTCGGTGTGACGAGCGAACTCTTTAACCACAAGGCTACCCGACCGCCCCATAACAATTATAACTCACAAACAAATATCAGAATCTTATATAATCACATAGTTACTATGATCAGTATTAAGAGACTAGTTGGCCTCAAATATGCATGAAGACGCCTTTTGACATTATCCACCAGAAACATGCCACATAACGTTCACACGAAGGTCATGATGTATACTTACAAACGTAGGTTAAAAATAGAGATGAATATGACATTATGTGTTATAATAGTTCAGTGCAAAAATATTCTTCACTACATACAGTACACACGAGGGTAGAGCAATGTTCATTACTTGTATAACACGCCGAATTTAAGACCAACCTTGTGTTTTATTATAGATTTGTTTAAAGAGGAACCTTAATAAGCGGTGCCTAAATTGAAAATCCTCGAACAGGGCTACCAGATGGGCTGTTCCACCTTATTGCCTGTACTCTGACGATAAGCGACAAAGTTCGTTTTGAACATCGTAAAACACGACAGATATTGGTAGTTTATGGTTTGACTAAGGCACATTTAATTATCCTGTTCCGTGTGTGATTATCCAAACCCAATGCAGCAGTAACAAGGACTTTTATTTAAAGTTTTATAATAATATGCTTCAGTTTAATCACGTGACTCGAAACATTCCACAGATGCACAGAGACCCCTCGGATAGCTTTGTGGCTGCTGTTGCATGGATACAGTGGTTGTATTATGTTTTGGGAAAAACTCTCTGCGTGAGAGATGGTTGAAATCACATTGTTATATTTTTTCTCAGGTAATAACATTCAATTATTCGATGAGTTTAAAGAAACAATTTCACCGATCAATAATTGATGTGGATGCGCCATCTTGTGTGACAGTAGAGAAAGAACGATGTTACCAAGGATACGGTACTTCACGGGGCAGGTAATTTGATATGTAATCTACCAGAGGTCCATGTATGCTACCATCTGTTGTCTGTAATCTACATAGGCTAGAATAGGAGGTGAAACCAGAGGTCCGTGTATGCTACCATCTGTAGTCTGTAATCTAAATAGGCTAGAATAGGGGGTGAAACCAGAGGTCCATGTATGCTACCATCTGTTGTCTGTAATCTACATAGGCTAGAATAGGAGGTGAAACCAGAGGTCCATGTATGCTACCATCGGTAGTCTGTAATCTACATAGGCTAGAATAGGGGGTGAAACCAGAGGTCGATGTGTGCTACCATCTGTAATCTGTAATCTACATATGCTAGAATAGGAGGTGAAACCAGAGGTCCATGTATGCTACCATCTGTAGTCTGTAATCTACATATGCTAGAATATGAGGTGAAACCAGAGGTCGATGTGTGCTACCATCTGTAGTCTGTAATCTACATAGGCTAGAATAGGTTGCGAAACCAGAGGTCCGTGTATGCTACCATCTGTAGTCTGTAATCTACATAGGCTAGAATAGGGGGTGAAACCAGAGGTCCATGTATGCTACCATCTGTTGTCTGTAATCTACATAGG